AGTGGAATGACTGAAGAGGAAAGAAGCAGGCAATCAGGTCTGAGAGGTGAGCAGGGGCCTGACCACACTGGCCGAGGGCCACTGTAAGGGCTCAGGCTCTTATGCTAAGTGGGATGGGAGCTGACGCAGGCTTGTGAGAGAGGAGTGACACAAACTGACTTAATGTGTTAACAGGATCCCTTTGGCTGCTGTGATGAGAGATCAGGGCAGACAACAAAACCGTCAGCTACGAGGATACTGAAATAATCCAAGGGAGAGACCAGAGTGGTAGTGACAGAACTGGTAAGAAGTGATCAGATTCTGGAAGCTAGAGACAATAGGATTTGCTGACGAATTTGTTAGGTGAAGGAGGAAGGTGCCATCAACGGGGAAGATGGGGTGGGACAGGATTCTTTGGGTTTGGACATGTTGAGCTGCGATGCCATGTGGAGACATCGAGTCAGCAAGTGGAAATATGACTTTGGAGCTTGGGAGAGGCCGAGGCCAGAGATAAAAAGGAGTGCATAATCCCTATTTAGATGTTACTTAAAGCCATGGGCCTGGATGAGATCTCCAAGGGACTGTGTGTAGATGGGAGAGGAAAGGTCGAGGAATGAGCCCTTTGGGAAGCGGGGTAGGGGTGGGGAGGAGATCCAGCAAAGGAGAATGAGAAGTGGCCAGAGAGGTTGTTGGAACCATCAGAAGAGTGGGAAGCCAATTTAGGAACATGCTCCAAGGGGGTAAAGTAAACAGTTGGGTTAAACGTGGCCAAAGACAAGGATTTGAGAACTCATCTTTGGATTTAGCAGCACTGTGGTCACTGGGGACCCAGATGAGCAGTTTCAGTGCAGCGGTGGAGGTGAATGCCTGTGGTGCCTGTTCAGAAGAGAATGGGAGGAGAGAAACTGGGAGAGTGCACAGCTAAACAAGGCAATGCCAGGTGGAGAAACTGAGGCCTTGAGAGGTTTATTATTCTACCCAAGGTCTCACAGCTGCTAAGTGGTAGATCCAGGATTTGAAGCCAGGCAGGCTGGCTGCTGAGCCTCAGCTTTTCAACACCGTATTACATCGCCTTACATAAAAACACTTTATTTTTGATTCAGAGTCACATCTTTTATCAATTAATATCCCATTAGGTGTACTGAGGAGCCCTGGTGACACAGTGGTTAAGAGCTTGGTCACTAACCAAAAGGTCAGCAGTTCGAATCCACTAGCTGCTCCTCAGAAACCCTATGGCGCAGTTCTACCCTGTCCTATAGGGTTGCTATGAGTGGGAATCTACTCGACAGTAACGGGTTTGGTTTGGGTTTTTTTGGTAGGTGTACCGAAGGAGCCCTGATGACACAGTGATTAAGCACTTGGCTGCTAACCAAAAGGTAGGCAGTTGAAACCCACCAGCCACTCTGGGAGAAAAGACCTAGCAATTCGCTCCAGTAAAGATTACAGCCTAGGCAACCCTCTGGGGCAGTTCTACTCCACCCTACAGGGTAACTATGAGTCAGGAACGACTTGAGGGCACACAACAGGTGTACTGCTGCTCACAAGCTCTACCTGACTCCAGATCTAGAGGGCTCTGCCCAGCTCCCTTTCCCCAGCCCCGATGACCTGCCCAGAAAAATACCACATTGACATCTTTAAATCCTCAGGGTGCCAACTTTTCCCATTCTCTCTTTTTAGGTTAACACAATTCAGGGGCTTTTCCAAAGGCAGGGGCTGCATCTAATTCAGCTTCACATTCTCACATTAAGAGCTCAAAAATGTATTTTTTAAGTAAGGCATCCCTATGCTATAGAGGCTTCTTCAATAAATCCAATTGTGCTGTGACTGGGCACAGGAACCATCCCACCAGGTATGGTTACCAGTATCCAGCCAACCACTGACCTACCAGGCATGCCTTTGGCAGGGCGCAGCTGAGAGAGTGCCCTTAGGGCTTCTGATCAGGGCATTCTTCCTTTGCCTTTGCCCACTGGTGAGCCCCTGCCCACTGCAATGACCACATGTGCAACTGCCTCTGCCTCCCTCAAACTGACACCCTCAGGGGGGGGGGCTGTTTGCCTCCACACACGGACGCACACACACAATTGCTCTACTACATCATTTCACTGTACTTGTGACCACCACGTGCTAAAATGGCCATGGGTGACTGAGACACATGACTTCTGTCAAACGTGAATCAAAGCAAGATTTTAACAGATACCTGTGTAATCCATGCAATGAAACAGAACACGCAATGCAGTGACAACTTGTGTAGTGTAGGCGAGTTCCCTGATGCAGCACCCTCCAGCTCGTCCCGTCCCAGCATCCTGAGGTCTGTGATGACTGCGCTTTTAGCCGGCATGATCAGAGTACTCTTCAGCACACCAGCTGGGATGATACTAAAGAAAGTTGGCTTTAGTTTATCCTTTTCATTCAACAAATATTTATCAAGCATCTACTATGGCCAGGGTGGGGGCAGTGGTGGTTCAGTGGTAGAACTCTTGCCTTCCATAAAGGAGAGCCAGGTTCAATTCCCAGCCAATGCACCTCATGCGCAGCCACCACCCGTCTGTCAGTGGATGCTTGTGTGTTGTTATGATGCTGAACAGGTTTCAGCAGAGCTTCCAGACTAAGACAGGTTAAAAAGAAAGACATGGTGGTCTACATCCAAAAATCAGCCAGTGAAAACCCTATAGATCACAACAGTCCAGTTCAAAACTGATCCTCGACAGCAGCTAACAACAACATCCACCATGGCCAGGCACTCTTCTAGGCACTGGGCATATGGCAGCAAACAGATAAAAATCCCCACCCTAAGGAAGATTACCAGGGGGTAGCGGGAGAACAGCAATAAACACGATTTTTTTATTGGATGTGATTAAATGCTACAGAGAAAAATAATGCAGGGAAGGCAGACGGGGGTGGGAAGGGGTGACATAACTTATAATAGTGGAATCGGGAAGGGTCTTACTGAGAGACATTTGCACATAATTAGAAGGAAGAAATAAGGGAGCAACCATGTGGCTATCTGGGGGAAGAGCTTTCCGGAGGGAGGAAACAGTGAGTGTGAAAGTCCACAGGCAGGATCAGCAAAGAGCACTCAGGAGTCTGTTTGAGTATTGATAAGGAAGAGGCTCAACCTGTGTGGTGTGGGCGTAAACCCTGAAGTGTCTGGGGGCCCACTTGGCTCTCTAATGATTAACGCCTAAAAGCAAACCAGTTCTCAGACTCACAGTTCTGGAATACTTTAGGGGGCTGCACACTGGGTTGGAGGCTGGATTCCAGAGCTTCCACTCTACAATCTCAAGGCCCCAAGCCCCTCCGGGATTCACCCACAATGACCTCTACGGCATGCAGGTCAAGCATACAGCCCTTACCTCCGTAGAGGTAAGACCCAGTTTGCCTAGAACTGGGCAGCTTTTCAAAGTGTGGTGGTGTGGGGACCCCCAAGATCTTTTCAAGGAGTCCATAAGGTCAAAACTATTTTCATAATAATACTAAGATGTTTTCTCTTTCGCTCTCATTCTCTCTATAAAATCTTCCAGAGGCTACATGACCTGGGATGATGTCACCTCTCTGAAGCTTAACTGAACGGGTGCTTGTGTGTTTTTGTGTTTTACAAACTTCTCCATTAACTCACATGAAAAAAATCTCTTTGAGGTCCTCAATACTTTTTTAGAGCGTACAGGGGTCCTGAGGCCAACAAGTTTGAGAATCGCTGGTATAAAAGACTCATGAAAACAGATCCCTCACCTAGACACATTCCTCAAAGGGGCTGGTATTATATTTTCCAAAAGTGAAAGACACGTTGTGCTTTCATATTAAGAAATGAACTCCTGCTTTTTATAACAAGCAGCTGCTCCCACACCGCAGTCCCTCGAGCGGACTTCTCTCTCCGGATGCCGCGCCCCCTGCCTTCCTAAAAGAGCCTCCGCTTATCCCGGCCGGGCGGCGCCTTAGGGAGCGCAGTGCAGCTTCCTCGCCTGTCGCTGCAGCCCAGGAACAGCTCAATTAGGTCACCACCCTCTCCTTTGCTGTAGTTAAGATGATGAATAAAATTAGGAATGGCCAGAGACAGAGGGCCGCCCGGGAGCTGCACAGGGTGCCACTGAGGGTGAGCCCACCCCTGAACTCCGGCACCCAGCGTTCGAGGGCGCACAGGCCACCCGAAGGGCAAGTCTTGGATCACCCTCCCAGCACCAGGGACGCACAGAGATCGAACCTACCAATAATACAAATATGCAAAATTCAATCTCCACCGCGCTCAGAAGAGGGGTTTGAGAACGACATTAAATTCCGAGCCTAAGAAACTTGATCAGGAAAACGAGTCGGGAGACCTGCCGGCTTTTGGCTCCGCGTCTGCTCCTAGCAGGGTGGCTGGACTCCGGCAGGTCACTGAGCCTCCTTCGCCTCGGTTCGCTCACCAGCAAAACGTTGATGTGACCACCTAAGCAAGCGCCATGTGAGTGAAATGCGAGGCTGTCAGAGGTCGCTCCGTGAATGCACTGTGACCTGGAGCACATGGGATCCCTGTCTGAGCCTCCATTTCCCAGATCGGTAAAACAAGGGAATGGCTTTAGCGCCCTCAAATCCCTTCTAACTCAGGCATTGAATAAACCAAGGTTAAATCAAGCAATTGCAGGGTGCTTTTAAAACTTAGATCAGAGCAGGAGAAATTAACCGCCGGGAAGAACAAATTTTTTAAGTAAATGTGCTCAAGTCCCAACTCCGCTCTGCCTACACGGAACTGTACCCTCTAGTGCCCGCGAAGCAGGCTGGCGAGAGACCCCGGGGGTCCCGCAGGGACGCCCTTGGGCTGGCAGATAGCGAGGGTCTGGGGAGCCGGTCCCACGCAGCCAGCGGGGTGCGCCCCTGCGGGTTAAGGGGGACCCCCGAGGGCGCCACGGGGCGCGCGAACAAGGTGGCGCCGCCGTGTGAGATGGGAGTCGGCTGGGGGTCCGGTTGCGCGGTGTTTCGCAGAGTTCAGAAGGAAAGCACCGCCCGGAAAGTGCGGCCACCTCGCGGGCGCCCGACGCGCGCCTTACTTGGGGCTTGAGCTCGCAGTTGGCCGAGGCAAGCACGCCGCGCGGCTGGGCTGCCCCCGTGGGCCGGAGGCAGAGGGTCGGCAGCAGGAACCAGCTCCAAGGTCTCATCCTCCTCACAACGGCTCTGAGGCCGTGACCGCGGAGGTAGACAGAGGCACCGCTGGCAGCTCGACCCCGGCTGGCGGATGCGTCTTACCGAGTCACGCCCTCCTCCCGGCAGGTTAGCGGGCAGACGCGGGGCTGCGGACGCGCCGGGCGCAAGCCACGGCGCGCCGGGCTCAGGGGCCGGGGGCGCTCGCCTGCGGGCCGGATCTTCTCGCCTGCTCTTTCTGCAGTTTGCGCGGCAGCCTCCGGGTGAGGCCGGCGGCGGCCACGTGGGGCCCGACCCGAGCCCCCCCTTTCGCCGCCCGCCCCCCACGCGGAGTCGGCCTCGGAGCCGCAGCCCTGCCTTCTGCCGCCCAAACCCTGCCAGGGCCGCAGCCCACCTCGTGAGCCGAGCAAGAAGGGAAAAGTGGAGTTTCAACTCCGTTTTCTAAGTTCAACCTAAAATTGTGTTGGCTCCAGCCATTACGCCTGTGCTTATGTTGCCAATGCTGAGGGTGGCTTTTGATGCAAGAAATAGGTCAAAGAAACAAATGAAAGGCTGTTTTGAAAGGAAAGTTAACTTAAACAAAGGAAATCGCTTGGAAGTGTTGTCTGTAAAAGAGACTGGGGAGTAGTCAGTGAGTGCGTCCATTGCAAGTCCCGGCCCACAAAAGCCCGCGTTCCGTTAAGCGCCAGGGTAAGGGATTACTGGAGATAATATTCAAGATGTTAACACCGAACTCGGAGGTTTGCAGCGAAGATTAAATGAGGACATTTATGAAAAGCACTTCGTTTGGTGCACATAGTAGGCCGGCAAAATGTAGTCGCTCCCTCTCCTCTCCAAGGCCCACAAGGATCACAGCACTGATCCTTCAGGAAGAAAAAAGTTATAAAATCAACTGGCTGTGCCCCAGCTCCCACCCATGCTGTGGTAAGTTCTGAGCGCTATACAACAGGGCGTTTGAGGAAGTGGTTGTTAGTTGTTTCAAGCCACAGTCCACTTTGAGAAGCTGATAGAAACTGTGGCCGACCTACAGGGGGCGAGGGAAGCAGTCCCAGAGAGCCAAGTTTTTTGAGCTTTGATTCCCCGGAAGTTTAGGCTTCGGGTGCTTTTGTGAAATTGCTAACTTTGGGTTCTCTTTCTGGAGTTGACTCCCTATCCTGTCTTCAAATTACTCCCTCGTTTCAGCGGCAGTAATCATTTGTCCCGGGCCAATGCAGAATGCCCCCTGTCGGGGTTTTTCAGGTGCCAGCGCTGCCACCTACTGGCAAAACGTTTTCCTCTGGTTTTGTGATGAAAACATCAAAAACTCCAAAAGTAACTACCTGTTATTTCATACTCTTTCCTCCACACCAAGTGAATTATCGACCCATCAGCAGTGGATGGAGGGAAGAGGAAAGGTAGGGATAATGCGTCACAAAACATGATAGAGTTTGGTGAATTTTCTCTTATTGTCTCTTCTATTTCGTTGATTTCTGCTCCTCGTTATATCCTTGCTTCTATTTATTTTGGGTTTACTTTGCTCATCTTTTTCTAACTTCTTAAGGTAGAACGTTAGGTCATTGATTTTAAACCTTTGTTCTTTCCTAATTCACCTACAGGTGTGTTCCTGGTGGTCTATGGCTCTACTTGAGGGACTTTGGACAGCCCCCCACAAGCTATCCCTTGTGCTTGCGGTGCTCTTACGTGAGACCTCCCCCTTGTGAGCAGAGACGTTTTCCCCACCCTCGTTTTCGTTCTCCTCTGTCCCTCCTCTCCTGCCCCTTCCCTCCCTGCTTACCACCTGGCTGACACTGTGCTGGGATGAATGGTAACTTGCTCCTGGAAGCCTGGTACAGTGTTGGTGCCTGTATGAATGATTCCTGACAGAAAGGTCTAAACATTATGTCAGGAGGAGCCGAGGCTTCCCAGGAGAGTCCCCCCGCCCTGCGCCCCACCCCGAGAAACAACAGATGGTCACTGTTCAGCTATCTTCAGACATTGGCTTTCTGTGTGGAATCAAAAGGGAAAGCACTGAATTGCTGGATGGTAAAGGGAATTTAATTTTTCCAGAGAGGGGAGGAAGAGTGAAAAGATTAGAGACAAGGAGACTGGGGATGGCTATTGGAGGGGAAAGAGGACAGAGATGTTAACCTGGGAATTTTGATTACGTTTTACTGTTGATGTGTAATGAAAAATTTTCAATAAAATTTAAATTACACACCAATCTTTGGGAGGTAGATTTTGTGGGACCCGACAGTGTGCTGTCTGCCTTCAAGGTGGGCAGGGAGGAGACAAGACTTCCCAAGGCGGCCCAGCCACACACAAGTGACAGTGGTCTAAATGTGTAATTTTTACTGTAAATGTAATAAAGTGAACAAAACTACAAGCATTTTTTTTAAGTGACCTGAATAATTGGGGAGCTTTTCTGAGTACAAGGCAAGTTAGTGATTGTTCTCTAGAAGCTTTAAAAACTCTGTAACTTGCCAGCCAATGTAGATTTGGTACGTACCATTTTTTGTCCTTGAGAGATCATGAATCCCTTTTGAATGAATGGTTCGTTAATTTATTCAACACATTTTTATTAAATACCTGAGCATTTCAGTGCCAAGTGATGGGTTTACATTGATGACTATGACAGACATGGCCCCTAGTCCCACCAAGCTTTCTCTAGAGTGCTGTTCCAATCCCTGGCTGCACATTAGAATCACCGGGGGAGCTTTTAAAACTCCCAAAGCCCAGGCCCACTCCTGGTTACTCAGAATCTTTGGAAAGTGTGGCCCCAGCAGCAAGATTTTAAAAGCTACCCTGATGATCCTAATCGTTAAGACCAAGAGACAGACAGACAAAAAGGAAACTTCAGGGTAGTAGGGTTGCTATGAGTCAGAATTTACTCAAAGGCAGTGGATTTGGTTTTTGGTTAGAATGAGTGCAGAGTCCCTGAGTGGCACAAACACTTAATGTACTTGGCTGCTAACTGAAAGGTTGGAGGTTCAAATCCACCCAGAGGTACCTAGGAGGAAAGGCCTATCGGTCTACGTACTTCCGGAAGGTCACAGCCATTGAAAACCCTGTGGAACACAGTTCTATTCTGACACACATGGGGTCATCATGAGTCGGAATCTCTTGACAGCAACTGGTTTTAGGATGAGTGCGACTAGCACATAACAATCCATAAGCAAGCCTGGAAGTGTCAGGGAAAATTTCCCAATGGAATGATGTCTACATGGAGTCCTAAAAATTGAGTAGGAGTTAGCCAGGAGAACAGCGTTCCTGGGAGAGAGAACAGCACAGATAAAGGCCTTGAGGCATGAGAGAGAGTTAGCTGTGTTCACAGCACGACACGTAGACCAAGGCAGGAACAACGGATAAAGGGAGAGATGAGCAGAGAACCAATGGTGAAGGTGAGCTGGGCTGAGGAGTTTGGCTCGTATCTTGAAGGCTTTGCAGAGCCGTCTAAGTGTTTCAAGCAGAGGAGTTGCATAATCAAACGTGAGCTTTAGCCAGCTCACTCAGGCTACAGCATGGAGGGGAAATTGGAGGGAGCAAGATGAAAATAGTGAGACCAGTTAGGAGAGCCGATAGAACCTGGGCCAGGTTCCGGCAAGAGATGAAGAGAAGCAAAGTTACATTAAGGAAGTAGAATCACCGCACTTGGTGGTTGATTGGATGTGGAGGGAAAGGGAGAACAAGCAACTTCCCAGAGTTAACGCCCAGAATGGACCTCCAGATCACGTTCTGTGGCCCAGGGTGGCAACACCCCCTACTCTGCAGCCACAGTGGTTTGGAGGAGGGAACCCCTTGGGCAAGTCACACAATCTCTCTGAACTTCAGCTTCTTTGTCTGCAAAATGGAAACAATAATACTCTTCTCACAGGGTTGTTGTAAAGATTAGAAATGACACAATATTTAATAAGACTAGCAAAATATATAAAACTGACAAAGAGATAGCATCTGTACTATAGAAAAGCTCCTAATCTAAAAAAAAAAAAGAAAAAAAAGGACATAAGCCTAGTTGAAAAACCTGCAAAGATCATAAAGAGGCAAAGGAAAGGAGGGAGGAGGGAGAGAGAAATACAATAGTCAATAAACAAAAGAAAAGATATTTTCTAGTTAATTAAATAAAAGCAAAGTAAAACAACTAGGTGCTATTTTCACCTCCCCAACTGGCAAAAAATAAAAGCCTGGCAGTATCCAGTAAGAATGTAAAGGATTTTTGAAAGGCAGTTCAGCACCGTTTAAAATGTGCATGCCCTTTGACCTAGAAATTCCACTGTAGGAATCTGTCCTAAGAAAATAGTTACACGTGTGCACGCACACACAGACCAAAGTCTGGGAATCATGAGCTGCGTTCACTGCAATATTGTACCAGTGAAAAATCTCAAACAATCCTCATGATGGAAAGTTACTTGACCATCTGAAAGAATGAGGTAGATCTTTATGTTCTGGGGTGGAACGACACAAATTAAATTGATGACCTTTCCCCTGAGGAGGGAGTGGAATTGGTGCCAGCTGGGGAAAGGGGAGGGAAGGAAGAAGGACTTTTTGATTTTTACTCTCTGTGTTTCTGTAAAGGAGCCCTGGTTGCACAATGGTTAAGCACTAGGCTGCTGACCTAGAGGCTGGCAGTTGGAATCCACCCAACATCTCCAAGGGAGGAACACCGGGTGATCTTCTTCCGTATAGATTACAGCCTAGAAAACCCAATAGGGCAGTTCTACTCTGTTATATGGGGCCACTATGAGTTGAAAATTGACTCGACAGCAAGTAACAACAACAGCAGGCTTCTGTATTGCTGATTTTTTTTTTTTTTTAATAGCAAGCACACCTTTATAATGTAATGTACACCTTTGTAATGATTTTTAGGTGACTGCTTCTTTAGCACACACTATATGGTTAGTCCAGTTGAGAGTATGCCATACACGTCCAAACATATGTCTACTCATTCTACCTAAGGGCTACATAGCTTTCCACAACATGATCTATTTGCCATTTTTCATGATTATAAATAATACAGCAGAGAATGGTGCCATGAATGATATCA